CATTCTGTGTGAGCATCCATTCATTTCGATGTGAGGTATCATGCTATCATATAAATTAATGTGGCCGATTTTGGTTGAATGGGTCTAGAGCCCGTCTTCACATCTACTAGATTATGTTTTATGTCTTAAATATTTAATTTGTATGTCAATCTTTAAGAAGTAGTTTATAAAGTTTTTAAATTTTATAAATTTATTTTATTTCGTAGTTTATTTACAGAATGTGTTGCAAGTCTATTTATTTATAATATAAAAAAAAAAATTAATTAATGCGCAGTAGTTGTTTTGCTGTTATTTTGGAAACCAATGAAAATTTATATTATGTTATACAAATTATTAAACAAAGAAATAGGATGATGTGCGACAATTGCGTGTCTTAAACTATACTTTACACCTAATATTTTTTGAATGCCTAACTTTTCGTTTACTTCCTGCTTTACTAAATTTTGAATGGTAATTCAAAAAAAAACTGTATACATCTGTAATTTACTTGTACAAGTATACTCCCATCTGAAATAGATCATTGTTCTAATTGTATTATAGTGTAGGATCTGCAAAAAGTTTTATTATGCCAAATTGAAATCGCTTACCAGACGAAGATGTGAGTCGAACCGGTGATTCCTCTTTGCTGGAATGGAATCTTCTTCGACATTTGCATGCCTTGTCGTTGGAGTACCCGAATTAAAAGTAAAATGCTTTTTATTGGGTGCATCTTAAATAATAATCATATATATAAATTTATAAATAATTCTTTTGAAATCATATTCAAAAATCGTTCATTTAAGTCGAATTATTATTCAAATAATTATACATATATTAAATCAGGATGCATTTCCTTTCATTTATTTTCTCACTCACACCCATTCTTAGCATATAAATTATCGTATAATGGCATTTCTGTAAATAAGCAACTTGAATTTCTAAATAATAATTGGGCTTTGGCTTTTCCTTAATTGTGAATACATATTTTATAACTTGTGATATCTGCCGCAAACAAATTAGGATTTAAATAATATACGTGTATGTATAACGCTTTAGCCTTCAATTAACAAATACTGATTGGCGCTGCAAACTGGTCGCACATAGATGAAATCGTTGCAGCCTTTGATGCAATTATGCTGAAATTTAACACGTTCCATTTTAATATTTACCGTTGCACATATTTTCAACACACTCACACACACACATTTGCAGACATGCAGATGCATGGAGAGAGAAGGATAATTAAAATGTTTGCGTGCATAAGCGAAGGGCATTATGTGTGGACTTGACCAATGACTTGGCTTCGGACGGCAATTCGTTGTCGTACCATTACACTGCAATTATCAGTTACAATAAAAACGGCCACAATTCAAAATTTAATTGAAGGCTTGAAGGGCGAACTTGTTAAGTTTAATTACGTATTGGCGCTGCGACCGGCGCTCGTTAAATTCCGTTGTCGCACACTGGCTTCACTCCGGGGGATTAAGCAAGTGGCAAAAAACTGGAAAAATTGCAAAAATTGCATCGAGGTTTTATTACAATGCACACTCTTATTTGTCTGGCACGGCAATTACGCGGGCACACGCGCATATGTAACTACATACCATGTATCAATTAATTACTTTTATGATTCCATGGCAGCAGCACAGCGCAGCGCGACGCGACATAATGACAGATGCAAATATTTGGGTCGATCGGGATAAGCGCCCCGAGCAGAAAGCCCGAGAGTTAAAGTTCGTGAACCACACTCACACACACACACACACACAGCTTGAATTAATTGCCTATTTGTAATATTTCCCATTCAGCAATCAATGGAGTTATAAATATATCTGGGCAATGAAAACACTCCACACTGTCATAAATATGAATTGGTTAAGTAACAGATAAATTTATTGATATTACGAATGTGTAAAAAATCTGAAGAAAATCTACGAAAAATGAATGAAAAACTATTGAACGACAATTATTACAGTTCAGCTGGCTTTGAATCCTTAATTTTGTTCCAAAAGTATATTTGTACAATTTAAAATGTTATCGAAATAATCCATTAATTTTGAGGATTTTAAATTATAAGAAAAAACCTGGAGTTAAATTTCCAATGTTACAAAATGATATTGTAGCAGCATGATCAGGATGAGAAGATATGTACAGCTCTGGCAACCCTGTCAGACGTGTCCCTGGCAAGAGAATAAAGAAGACGGTTTTGCCTTTGTGTTTTATATATCGTTACCTATCTATACTGCGGGTGTTTATAAGTTTAATAAACTTAATAAAAATTTGTATTGTGCTCTGAATCAAATTAAGTTTTAATTTTATATAAACAATTTATATTAAATGTTTTAAAACTTTTTTTTCGGCTTCGATATCAAAAATGTAGCATACTTTTCGGGTACAATATCAAGAGTGGCTTGCAAAGATTTTTTGTTTTTTTTGTTTTTGATAAAACTTTAATTTTACTGTTATTATTTACAGTAGTAGTAGTAGTAGTAGTAGTAGTAGTAGTAGTAGTAGTAGTAGTAGTAGTAGTAGTAGTAGTAGTAGTAGTAGTAGTAGTAGTAGTAGTAGTAGTAGTAGTAGTAGTAGTAGTAGTAGTAGTAGTAGTAGTAGTAGTAGTAGTAGTAGTAGTAGTAGTAGTAGTAGTAGTATTAGTAGTAGTCATACTTGTATAGAAAGAAAAGTTATATGAAGATACGTTTATACAAAATAAAGAAAAATTTGAACGAAATATTAAGGAAGTAAATCAAGTTATCTTTCATAAAATACAAGTACATATACATATTCATAAATTAAAAAAATATGCTTTGCATCACTTGCAGCAAAGACTTCAGCAACCCACTAAGCCCTACAATAGTCGTGTCTATCATTGCAAAATATATTGGCTGTGTATTCTAAATAGTAAACAAATAAATATTAGTAAATTAGCGTCCAAGTTTTGAGACACAGCTGCCACAGGACTGACTCATGCATATGTCCTAATTCTGCCCAACAGGGTCACTTTATATAAGTATTGCTACTGCCTGCTACTGTCGCCAGCAGAGACATTGCTTTAGCGCTCGCTCGAAAAACTAAAAACGACAGCTTTATCTGTGGCAAAAGTGGCTGATATTTTGGTACACTTGCACAGACACACATACACACACACACACAACTTCCGTTATTGTGACGCGCTGTAGGTTTAGTTTGTTGTTGCCTGCCACCAGTGTGGCACCAGTGGGCCGCGCCTCCCTTCAGCTGCGCTGATCGGAGCACTTTTGTCGACATCAGTGCAGACCGAGCGCCGCTATTGTCGTTCGTTGTGCGTTCTTATCGCTGAGACGCTTGCAAGCCGACGCTGACTCTAAATAATCCTTTCGAGGCGACACTGACAGGCTGGGGCCACCCACAACTCCGTGCTGCAACAAAAAATAAAGAAACGGAGGAAGCGTGCGAATGAACGCAGCACCAGAAAGCAGATGAAACGACTGCAAAGTGAAGCAGTCAGGACCAGGGACGTCGACGCGTTTGCTGTAAAATCCAAGTTAGTGCGCATAAATCAAGCCTTTAAAACGTGCCTCGCAACCGAAATGTCCGCCAAGGATACATGCGTTCACTGTGCCACATATAGTATAGCGCATGGGTGTGGTAGACAGCGAGGAAGGTTGTGGTGGGTAGGCGGTTGGCAGACTGTGGCATCCAGCATGCCATCGACGTCGGCTTGCAGCTTTCCGTATGCAATTTTATGCAACTGTGCCATTTCCTCAACGCTCCGCTCATTGCGTTCGGCATCGCTCTTTGCGGTTGCATGCCTCAAATTGTTTACAGCTGCATAAAATGTATAATCTTGAAGATTTTTTATTTATTTATTCGACGCCTAACAACAAATGCGGCATAAGAGCATTTTTAGCTGAGCTCAAACATCAACAGAGGCGCCACGGCTTCAACAATACGGCTGTGCAGATTTCTGTCAGTTGAAAATAAAAGTAAATAAATAGCGAGCGAATGTGCGGCAGTTTTGATTTTAAACATTTATATTGGTGCAGAATACTGGTTTGATACATTTTAAATGATTTTTTAAAATAAATAAGGAGTTGACCTGCACTAAGGCTGTGACAAAAAATGTAGCATACTTATGTGCTGGAATTGTTCGCCAGAGGAAACATTCTCATGAAAATAAATAAAAAGTCACTTTGATGCAGGATTTCCCAAAATTTGTGCATTTTTTCTGTTTCTATACAATGAGGTGACATATAGAAGAGAATGGTAACAATTGGCTTAATTTTAATATTTCACAGGTTTTTAGATTTCAGTTTTCGAAGGGCTGTTAGATGGATTTTTAGGCAATGGGAGTAGACTAATGTTCGAACGAAATTTTGTTAGTTTATCTGTAAAGTGTTTTTAATAATTATGAATACTGCTTGAAAAAATTGTGCTAGAGTTGGTGTGGTTTTTTTTTTATTATGTAAAACTTTAATTATACTGTTATTAACAATAACTTATAGAAAAATACAAATACAGCTTAAGCTAGGAGTTTAGTCTTATTTAGAGTTGGTGTGGTGGTGAGTAATTTTTTTGAATTATTTTGGTTTCATTTTTCTTAGATTTTGTTTCCTTTAAATTCATAAATTTATACCAAATGTTGTTTTAAGTTAAAGTGACACGATATATTGAATATTACAGTTTAATATGAGGCATTAAAAGAAACTTATAATAAACTTTTTCTGCGTATGAATAAGTCACATCATATCCGGTATTCCTGTCTGTTATAATTTAAAAGTTTTTAGTGTTCAGAAGAACGAAGATATAGACTCACAAATTTTTATCGATTCAACAAGTTGATCCTATATAGTATGTAGGTACTCGTACATATGTACCTGTAGCATGAGTTCTACATCACCTTGCTTATTTCACACATTATGCGTCTAGATTTTCTAGTATATATTCCAAGGCATAACAATTTAAACAAAATAGTAGAAAATTTTTGAACCTTTTTTTATACATACTTGACAGTTCCAAAGCTTTGTCGTTCATATATGCCTTTGCATCAATTGACTTATAAAAATCACTTCCAAAAATATATTCGGATTTAGAAAAAAAATTATGCAAAAACTCTTTTGTGTAGTTATTTTGTTGCTATATCTGCCAGCGGTAAGTGCAAGTAAAAAAGTTTCCTCACTTATGTACCAATGCAATGTATTTTATTCTTGTTGCACATATAATCTAACATTACACTGCTGCTAGATTTGGGCCAACTTGGAAGACGATATCCTGGCAGCACACAATGACCTCCGAGTGCTGCATAAAGTGGCGCCTTTAAGGTTGAATTCACAGATGAGCAAAGAAGCAGCCGCACATGCCAAGGTAAAGCGTCAATAAGCCGCATCTTTTTTTTTTTTTTAATTTTCTTATGATTACTTTTCCTATTTATTTACGCAAGATTCTTGCGGAAAAGGAAGATCTCATACACTCCGATAGTACAGCCTATGGCGAAAATCTCTGCTATACTACATTTCCACCAACCACATGTGTAAAGAGCTGGTACGATGAGATAAACAAATTCGATTTTGCGAAGCCAGAGCTTTCGAAATCAACCACACACTTTACGCAAATCATTTGGAAAACAACCACAGACTTGGGCGTTGGTTCGGCTAAATCGTGAGTACCTCTCTATATAGACAATACCTTCATTATATGTATGTATATATTCTTATATTATAGCGCCGATGGCATGGATTATGTAGTTGTCAGGTATAAGCCGCCGGGCAATATTGATGGTCAACTGCAGGAAAATGTGGTGCCACGATTTCTAAAGAGGGGCGGCAATAGACGGTAAAACATTTAAGACATTGAAGTTTTAAAATTATTCGTTAAAAGTCTTCTATTAACAGAACAAAGAGTGAAAACGTTTGGATACTTATTATACCTTTGCTCCTGGTTGTACTTTCGAAGTTGCTTTAGAGAAATCGCCAAAATTGAGTGTAAATGCAAAATATCTTGTTTAAAATTGAATCGTGTTCATACAATATATGGAAATAAATTAAATGTTTCGCAAAGCAATACTGACATGTTTAGCTATCTACTTTGAATGATGGACTAGGCTTTAAATCTCAGGCTAGCTTTTAAAGGTCTTTTGTTGACAAAGCTACAAAAGAGTTAATGAATAATTTTACCTTTGTTATTTCATTTATTTGAGAGAGTTTTGTGAGCCACCCAACTGTGTAGCTGCTGCTTACAAAGTCAATGGAAAAAATTAAAAAACCTGACACTAAACCAAACTGTCAACACATTCACACTTACACGAACAAACAATTTGCTCATTAAGAATAATAATTTTATAAATTACGTTTCCCGTTACTATTACAAAATTTCTGCTTAAGATGTGCTCTTTAGGGCCTGGCCCAGGCAAATGCCTGGAACCGCCACCGGAAATACCACAGGAAATCGAGCCCATTTCCCCGACACGCTTCCTAGACCTGCCCAAACCGAAAAAGATAAAGATATTTGACTGCGATGAGTCCCGAGATGAGGAGGAACTCGCCTGCAAGCCGAGCACTGAGCTGAGCCTGGGGGAGTCCTCGCAATCGGCATATGTGCGGGAGCTGGACTACGATGACATCAAGCTAGAAATGGAGGCGATTAAAGAGCGTGTGGGTGTGATTGATAAGCGACTGATGCTCAATATACCCGAGTGTCCTGACTTGGATCCCTGCCAGGACATAGAGCTGGAGCTGCAGACCGATGCGCAGACATATGCGGAAATCCTGCAGCTGCAACGCGACAACTACAAGCTGAAGCATCAGATGGAGCAGTTGAAGCTCTGCTGCTATGCCACTGATGTGACGCTTGGAAAGATGGAGGCGATGGTCTGCCAGGAGCAGCTGGAGGCCAAGCAGCTGCAGCGCAGCCTCGACAAACTCGAGTCCGCTAAGCTGCTGCTGGAGCGACAATTTGGACTCTGCAGCCACCGCTTTCGGCATCTGGAGCAAGAGAAGTACCAATGGAGTACCTGCCACAGCTATTTCGATGGCCTGCGGGCCGAGGCCGAGCGCCAGGCGAACAAATGTGTCTCCAAGGAGCAAATCGTGCAGCAGCGCGACTTCGCTCTGGAAACGCTGAACATAAAAAAGTGGCGCCTGAAACGAATTCACGGCTACATGAGCGACTGTTTCAAGAAGTTGGCCGCCCAAATGGACATGTTGCTGCCACAACAGTCGACGGTGATAGTCAACTTTCTTCAGCGCAACGAAAAGTTGTTCAAACGGAAGCAGCCGAAGCGAGACTTAAAGTGAGCCACAGACGAAAATCTGGCCCAAATGGTTCAATTTGTCATTGGCAAATGGCAAATGGCCATAAGGTGGCAGCCAACATTTTTAGTTCATTTACATTTTGGGACCGCAGTCTCGATGCTTTGCATGGGGGCGGGGGAGGGAGGAGTGGATTTGGGGGCTGAAGTAAAAGAAAAATACAACAAAACGAAATACAACACCAAATCGTTGTGATTATGTCGTTGAGCCGTGTTTTTGTGTGCCGTTTGCTTGACCACCAGCCTGCCACGTGGCAGCAGCTGCCCAAAATGGCGTCCGCCTTCATTTTGTTTTGTTTTTTTTCTGTTTCTATGCATTGCCTCTGGTTGCGTGTTGTTTCTTTGTTTTTTGTGGCATTACAACGAAATGTATTTAGCATAAAAATTTACGATAATGATGGGCAGCAACCGCCACGGCAAGCGCCAAATAGACAAACATTAGACGCCAATAACAACAACGGCTACAACAACAGCAACATAGCAACAGGAGTGGCCACATGTCGCACTTGTTGTTGTGGTGCAAACATTTGAGTGGGCGTGGCCCTAACGCAAAAAGTTAAATTAATATTTTTTCACACTCCAGAACTTTGCGAAAATTGACGAATTTTCTGACCAAACCGCCGCCGTCAAAGTCAACTGTTGTCACTTTTCATATTTCATTTTGGTATATTTTTAAAGTAGATTAGCAAAGTTTTTTTTTCCCAAAACTCGCCAGTCATTTATTTAAACTTTTCCACCATACTGTGGAGAATGCCAGTGGCTGCGCTTTTTGTAAAGACAATGGTTTGTAAATGTTTGTTCGCAAGCATTGGGGTTCACTGAACTTGTAAATAAACAAAAACTATAGCAATAGAACAGGAATAAACGAAAATAAAATATAAATGAATGTAGGAAATGGTGAACAGTACTTATTCAGCATGCGGTTTCTAAACTCCAACTGTTTTTTTTTTTTTTGCTTCTGTTGACACTTTTATTTGCTTTTTAGCCAGCTATAGCTCGCTTCTTAGCACAATGTAGTTCGAGAAAAAGGACAAATAACAGCTTAGAATTCAACAAAATCAATTAAAAAACAAAAATTGTGAAAAAAGGAGAAACAACAAAACAGAACAAATAATTTATTTTATTCAAAATACACACCTTTTGACTAGCTACAACGCTTTCCACACTACAGGAGTATTTTAAACTAGTTGTATAAAGCTTTAAATAGAAAAGATTAAAAGCGGCCGATTCTTAAAATACCGATTTTTTTCAAGGAATCAGTCACTGGTCGATTTAAAATGTATATTGTTAAGAAACCGGATTTTTTAAAATTTGAATAAGATCTATGTGTTATCTTCAAGATTCTGTTTTTTGCAGCTTAGATCACAATTAGCATAAAATATACAAAAACTGTTAATATATGTATAGTATGTTTAAAAATTTGATCAAAATTCATACAATTACTATCTTCTTAGTCCAATGAACTGAAGCGGCAAGGAAACCTCTATATTCTCTTGTAATTCGCATGGAAAAGTATAAATAAACCGAATTTGTTTCTTGGGGAGTTTTTTATTTATTTATTTTAATTGTAGTAGTGCGAGCTTTATATTTTCATAAACATTTTGTAATCACAGAATTGAACTAAAAATAAATACAGCGGAACTAAATCGACTTGTTTAAAGCCGTCTTAAATGCATAAAAATGTTTAAGCAACGAAGGACACAGAAATGCTAAAAAAAATGAAAGATAAAATAAATTTGTACATTTACCGTTTTACACATAATATACTTAAATGCATGTAAGGGATTCGATTCTAAAACGTTTGATAGTGCAAATATAAATATTTGTACACAGGTAAGGCACATTGAGCTCTTAATCTAATAAAATAAATACATACGTGTGTTGTGATTTTAAGCGAACATTCTATTTATATTGGCATTTGCAATGCTCCTCCTCTTGGTATTAACTTCTTTGTGCGAGTTGCATGCTTTGCGGCATCTAAGGCGATGTTAACCAACCGAATAGGAAGTGGCACTGGCAGTGGAGTGGCAGGAATGGGGTGGTATGGAATGAAAATAAATGCGATTCTGCACTTCCTTTTGCCGTGTGCATTGACATTTTATTCTGCCAATACTCGTTCATCACCCACACACACACACACACAAACATACATGCATACAATCCAAACACAAATCGGTGCTACCCTTCCCGGCATGCTCGATACTGCTGGGGCTTAGGCAGCGTCTTTGGTGAGGAGGAGCGATTGGCAAGGAGCGGCTGGCTTAGGCGCCTCTGTCTGGGCCCCAATGGTTCCCAGTAAATGCGTCTATAAATAATTCATTTCGTTTGAGATGTTTGATGTGCCCCTCGTACTAAGAATGCTGCTAACACAACACACACGTACGAGGGCGGGGCTTAAAATATGACAATTTTTTTTAAAATAATTTACTATTCAGTATGAAGTTTTTGCACATCAATTTTTCTTTGAATTTGCATAAAATTAATACATTTGAGATGTGATATTCAAGCTGCAATTTATGGATATTTATATCTATTTCTGAAAAATATAAATAGTTTGCATTTTTTTCCCTACAAACAAATCTATGAAATATGAAAACGATCCTTTAAGCCCATCTATCGCTGTCCACCACCAGAAAGCACTTAGCAGCTGCTGTTAAAAATGCTGGAGGGATATTTAACAGACGGCGCAAATTTAGCCCAGCCAGCATTCCAAAAAGTCTTCCAAATAAAACATTTCTCACTACTCATAGCATCTTTCAACTTATACTGCAATAATAATATTTATAGAGTATATGCAAGTGTTTTATTTTTTAAATTAAATACACTTTGTTGAAATGTACAAACTTATTTGCGACTTATGTTAATTTTATTCTCTGCCTCTCTCTCTCTCTCCCTCTCTCTCTCTCTCTTGCAATATCAATGCGCTCAAAACGCGTTGCTCTGAAGCAAACGTTCCAATTCTGTTATGTTAATTGTAGAAATGGAAAAAACTCTTTTACATGGGTTTTTCATTCGGATAGTTTAACAGCTTTTGTTTACATTCTGTACAAACTAATTTGCGACTTGTGTTAATTTTACTCTCTCTCTCTCCTTCTCTCTCTCTCTCTTGCAATATCAATGCGCTCAAAACGCGTTGCTCTGAAGCAAACGTTCCAATTCTGTTATGTTAATTGTAGAAATGGAAAAAACTCTTTTACACGGGCTTTTGTTTACATTCTTAATTTTATTCTCTCTCTCTCTTTCTGTTGCTCTCTCGCTGCAATATTAATGCGTTTAAAGCGCGTTGCTCTCAAGTGCAGCAGCCAATCAGCAAATCGTTTTAATTCATTAAATGTTAATTGCATGTCAACACTACAACATACAGTTACTTTTGGAACACACCTCGTATGCAGAAAAGAGAGATGCACTGAGTTTATTGCATTTTTTTCACAACCTCACATGTGTTTGTGGGAAAGTGCGTTGGTAAGTATGGATGTGTGTGTGTGTTTGTGCAAAAAGGCACTTCTACCCGCATTTCATTGAATTCATTCATTTTTTAGCATTTTTCGTGTCTGCTACTTACCAGTTGCTGTTGTTGTTGTTGTTGTTTGCCCCGGCTTTGCATAAATAAGATAAACAGAAGGAAGCGCGCAAACGTCTCTGCTGCCGGCGGCTGTTCCAGGTTTGCTGCTTTGGGCAGCAAGGACGAAGGACGCCCTGCTAGTAGTGGTGGCTGTGCAGCTGTGATTTATTTTGCACTCAATGTTTGCCAAAGTAAAATTGATTGAAGCGTTTGTTGGCGCACCAATTGATTTCCACTACAGCCGCAATCCCTGTCTTGTCCTTGCCCTTCCTGCCCCTTCCCCTGCCCCTTCCTCCAGCACCGACACCGGCACCGGCACCGCACTTCAAGTATTTGCGTTGAGCTTGTCTTGTTTACAGTGGTTAAATTAACTTTGGTCAATTTGGTTTTTGTCGAGTGCCGGTCGGACGCTGCATTGAAACAAATTTCCAACAGCAACTATATATGTGTGTGTGTGTGTGCCGAACAATGGAGCTCTGCCGCTTGCAATTGTTCGCAATGCAGTGCGATCGGAAAAATTATTGCGTATTTTCACGTTTCGGGGTCACCAGAAGCTGTTCTTCTTTACAATATTCCATTGCCATGCCATGCAACTAACCGTGAAACTCTTGTATAACCAGTAATGCCAATAATGCTGAGGAGCTTAGCGACAAGTGCGACTGAAGATTGTTCTTCAATTTGTGTGGCTTTCCTTTTTAGCTTTTAATCTTGCACTACATTTATGTAATGTCAAACACTGAGAGTGGTCTCCACAATAAATTGATGCAAGATGAGTTCCAGTTGCTGCAGAAGAAAATCAGAAAATAGTTTAAATGCTTAACTAGACCGGTGCCCCACTTATATATTTTCAGGCAGTGTACAGATGAAAAGAGGAACTGGGGGGCAATCATACTAATAAACTGCACTGGTCAGGTATCTTTTAGGAGTAAGTAGTCCCTATAAAGAAGGTAGGCGATGAAGCTCCCAATTACAAAAGAACTTATAAAGATCTTCGTGGCCAATGAGGTAGCTATTTAGTCCTTGAAGCTAATTTAGTTGTTGGTATTTAATTTTTACTTACTTTCTAGAGTCTGTACGAGAATTTGGTTTCTTTGATAACTGATCTCAACTTCCGGGTTTTTATCCGTAGCTGCTTTTTAAGCTACACTGTTTCCTTGACCTTTTTAAACTACTGCATAAGGACGTTCCTAAGTCCATCATTCTTGATTCTGTATTCTTTTTCGTTTGCTTACATAATTCCTAGACATTTTTCTTTTACCCTTCTACCTTCCGAGTCCAACAAGGCCCCAGGGTCTCCTTCTATTATCTGAAGGTATCCATTTAAGTTTTGTGGTGAGTGCATCTAGGGACTTTTTGATACACTCTACCGATATTATGGGTAGTCCGCTTCTCAGACTTAACTTATTTCTGTGTTTAGGGAGTTCCATAACGTTGTTTTGAAGTGGTGATAGTTTAATCTTTTTTAAAGAATATTCATTTGTGAACTGATATGGATAGTCTGTTTAGAGTCTTTGCCATTATAAGGAAAATGTATTTTTAACAGTTTTGTTTCAATATTCGACTTTATATGTGCATACATATGTCCATTTAGATACCACATTTCTATTTTAAAAGCTCTAGAATGTTCAGTTATACTATTTTTATTAATTTTTTTTCTACTTTAACAAATAAATTGACTACATATTTAGTAAATATTCAAAATTCATTTAATTAAATTAAAAACGCTGCGCCCAGCTTGCGAATTTTCTTTACCGTGGAACGGCTTTGGCTCACCAAAGCTACATCTTGCAGAAAACTTTCCAAAATCGTAGCTCCACTCCAAATTATAAGTGAGAGCAGCAAAGAGACCTTGATTTTGTTGCTGGTATGCGAAACAAAAATAATAATTCAATTTAATAAGGAGATCTCAAATATTTACCTTTTATTGGGTGGTGGTACGTTTTTGATGAACTGACCATAAATATTGCCAGGCGGCCGATATCTTACAACCGTAATTGTCTCTCCATCGCTGCGTAACAATATTAATCAGAATAAACTTAAAATTAGTTAGAAACAGACAAATACGACTTAAAATAAAAATAATTCATAATATTACAAATAAAATACAAAATATTAGAAATGTAGAATACTTGTGTAAAGAATAAAAAAAATATTTTTTTTTCATTAATCAGAAAAATATTTTTTAAAACTAATTTACTATTGTTGGCCTTAGTGTTAATGAAGCCTATGTACAATTTAGGGAACGAGCTTTGAAAGCTTTTTCATTTTTGGAAATTCTTCTCAGAGAGTTTTGATCTGTTTAATACGAGAGCGTGAGAGAGTTAGGTCGTAAGAGCGAGTGCTTAAACTCTTAAAGCTACTTTCCGTTACTGTGGGAATATATCCTAAGCAACGATCAGACGAGCGATTAATTTGCTAGACAAATTTGTCTTTTTTTCGGTAAACGAAGGCTTTGAAAGCTAAACATTAAAGAAGTTTTTTGCTTGTGAAGTTCGACAAAATTGTCTGTAAATTATTTTTGTTTTTTTTTTTGTTGCACAGCCCTCTGGAAAATAATATTTATTTTTATGTAATAAAGAAATATATAAATTACGTTTTGCTAACTCCAACGCCCAGGTGTGTGGAGCTCTTCCAGATCATCGCCGTAAAGCTTCTGGTTGTATTTGATATTCTCGGACGTTCATAGTTATAATAAAAACTTTCTCGGTACCACTCGGCCTCACACGATCCGCGTGATTCCTTATGGGTGCACAAGTTTTCGGAATATTTGCCATTTGATGTCGAATACTCGCTTTCATGTTGAGTTGTGCATTGCTATTATAATACACAAATAATAAATTAATTATACATTTTAAACTATTCAAAGCTTACTTTGGCATAATCGGCACATTCTTCGCTGAGCCGCTTGTCCAACTTCAGATGCGGTACATTATGCTTATCTCTATATTCATTATGTTTTTTGAGCACGAATATATCATATTCAACGCCATGCTAACAAAAGAGAAAATCTTTGTTAGTTTATTATTAAAAATGTTTTTAATAGAGCAGTAGGAGAGATCGAATGTAAACGTAAATATTTCTCAACTAAAAACATGAATTTTGACTATGTTTGCCAAAAAAATAAAAAAATTATTAAAATAGCCACAGCATATTTAGATACGAAGTTATATGGAATTCTTGACACTACTTCGGATTAAAGAAAAAGTTACCGCATTGAGAAATAAAACTGTAAAAATAAAACAGAAAATTTTGCTCATTGTTGAAACTTAAAACTTTTCAGACAGTTGATTCAAGGGATGTTAACAATAAAGTGTGTGATTGAAGTCAATAAAAACAGATTGATTTTTAAAGGTATTTTGAAATAAAGAATTATTGAATTACAAATAAATAAATTGATTTGTGGGTTTAAGATATACAATAGTTTCTTTGAAATACTCATTTTTGTTGTTAAAAAATAAATTGTTGTTAAAAATAGGAGTTCTAAAATCAAATAAAACAAGTGAGAATGGTTTCTAAATAAGAGACAGAGAGAAAGAGACAGAGAGAGAGAGAGAGAAAACATAAAGTCACTGCATCTGAAGAATAATATGAACTACCCGGCCATTCACTTTTAAATAGCACTGAACAATATATTAATAATGAATTAAATTTCATACAGAACGAAAGAAATTGTTGGAGTAAACGATATAAATGTATTATTAATTTGCGAGTCAATCAGTACTCTTTAAAACTCATCCAAAAATACTTTCAGAATAAGTTGCTCTCTTAAGGTCGCTGATTTAAAGATCGCATATTATTGTAAAATAGTGTCAATAAAAATATATTTTTAATTGAATTAAAATATTTTAAAAACTATGTAAACAACCTACTGTGTTAATTTGAAATTTGTAAAATTAAATAAATAAAACTTACGAACTAAAAAAGAGACAAACATTTGAAATAGATAGAAATAGAAATCAATCTCATATTAAAAACACAGCTACATATATACAAGTATGTAGTACATATACGAGTCGGTTTGTGTTAATTATGTTGTTGTTGCTGCTGAAACTGTTAAAAGTAAATAATAAATTCCGCGCTGCGATTTACAGTTGCCAAGCTGAAGAGAGCTTTGCATAAAGAATGTAATTAAACTCTTTAGTTTATAACACAAAAAATGGCTCTCCCTCTCAACCCACTGTGGCTTGTTTGTTTTATTTGCTGCTCAGTGCTCGTTAAACGATTTCTCCTCAGCTGAGCAGTCCTGAAATGGAATGGAGTGGGAATGGGAGAAGTGCCTACAATTCATCACATGTCGTTTTGCGATTTTATTGAATGACGACAACGATGATGGTGATGCTGATGGGGACTGTGATTGAAGCCCATTTCCCGCATTAACACCTGCTCCGTTTCTGATCCACTGGCCAAAAAGTACAGACCCCTTTTAGCCCCCACCCCGTTTTTGATGGTGCATAAATCTTGGCTGTCAAGTGCAGCACAGCCAGCTGTCATCGCCATTGCAAAGGGAGACTGAGAAGATAGAGGGAAAGAAGAATCCACAAACAACAAACAGATGTGAAGATTTGATGGTAACAACAAATTACGAACAAAAATAATAATTATGCAGAATATATATGTACTATATACGTGCATGAGAACAAACACGCAAATGTATGCCATCCATTTTTATGAATGAGCATTTATCATAATTAAAAATTCTGCCACTACACAGGGGTAGACCGAGCCAGCGTCACGACCCCGGCCAACAGTCGGACAGTCGGAGCCACATTGCTGACCTAAGACACTGCTTGCGTCCATGTGCGTCACAGGCGAGTCCGCTCTCTCGGCGCTCTCTTTGGGACAGCTACGTAGTAACGACGGGCATGCTGGCCATGGGCGTAGCAAAGAAGGCACAAGACCGGCACCTTCCTCGCCTCTAGAATGCAAACAAACCACTGGTAGCTGCATTATTATTTGTTATTTATTAAGTTATTTATTATTTATTAAATTATTTATTAATATAGAATAAGTTTAAAAATTCGCTTATTTTATACATTAGATAAAGTTCCAATAATACTGTGCGAATCCATCCCTATTATTCCTGTACTCTCAGTGTCTAAAGATAGCAAACAAATTTTCCCAAGCTACGAATTTGTAAATGTCAAATTTTTTAAAATTAATTAATCTGCCTATTTATTTCTAAAGCTCAATAAAAACAAAGATTTATATATATATATATATATATATATATATATATATATATATATATATATATATATATATATATATATATATATATATATATATATATATATATATATATATATATATATATATATATATATATATATATATATATATAGTTTACATAACGATAGTAAAAAAAAGGTGACCCTCTCACGCTCCGCTAATGATATTGCTCCACTGACTTCAATTTGTGCTGAACAGCTGTTGCTTGGGACAGCGACCAGGCTAACTGTGACATTGGAAGCTCCGCAAGCGGAGTGGGTGTCTCTCTTAGTCGCAGACCCGCTGGTGAAACTAACGGCGCATGTTGGTGAAGCGGCCAAGAGAGCTAGGCGTTGCCTCTGCGCATGTCAATAGGAACAACACCCAAACTGTAAATGATGCGCTCTTAAGTTTGTGCGAGTTGCCATAAAATGTAATTCGTCACAATGTCTTTTGGCACTCTTTGAATGCCGTGCAACCGTTTGTTTATCATTTGCTCTCTCCACTAAGCGGGCTCAAGCTCTCTCTTCCATGTGCTGCTACGAGCGCCACTCGGAGGCCGTTCGGCTGACGGTGGCTTCAGTCGTGGGCCATGCGGCGCATTGGTGTTGACATCGTTGTCACTTCGAAAGCCGTTGTCGTGCTTCACAGTTGTGTCTGCGGTCCGTTAACCGTTAACCGTTAATCGCGCGTCCCTCTTCAAAACGAAAACATTTAACAGATACGCGCGCGTTTCCTCGTACGCCTGATTTAATCAGTGATTAAAATGCTGCATTTGTTATAAACCAAATGAGCCAAGTGGGTGTCAAGCCAATGTGTTCCTGTCATCAACGATATTTATTATATGTACACACACATGTACATACATATGTACATATACTCGTATGCTATTTATTGAAAAGATAAACCGACGCGGGTCTCTCTGGCAATGCGAATTTTTTGGCGCGCCTATGCGGCTTTGTGATTCTTAGCAACAATAACAAAAAGGTTCTCGCGTATGTGTGACCCTCTGCGTGTGTGTGTGTGTGTGCTTGCGTGTGTTTGTCTCCACGTCTCAGTATGCGTGCGTGCGTGAGTGCGTGCGTGTGTGCGGAATCGTAATCCCAGCAGATCTGTCACGTTTTCTGGATACGCATGGAATTTAAGCATATTTATTGAAAAAAGGTGAGCAGCAACGCCACAAAATGTGAGCTCTGGATTAGTAAACACAGATATAGACAGACATATGTACATACATACTCGCATTTATATATAATCCTGACTATCAAATGGGCTTGCTCGCTAGCATGTTTTGACTAATAACTGAAAAGTGGTTTCAGGAAATCAATTTGAGGTGCCATTAAATCGTAAACTACAAGTATTAGCTGTTAATCGGAATTGTCAATATGAAGAGTTAAGTTATGTATTTAAATCACAGATTAATGCTTGATTTGTTGTCAGATGTGAGGCTTTTTTTCTTTTGAAATCAATTTAAGGTGCCATTAAATCGGAATTGTCAATATGAAGAGTTAAGTTATTTATTTAAATCACAGATTAATGCTTGATTTGTTGTCAGATGTGAGGCCTTTTTCTTTTGAAATCAATTTAAGGTGCCATTAAATCGGAATTGTCAATATGAAGAGTTAAGTTATGTATTTAAATCACAGATTAATGCTTGATTTGTTGTCAGATGTGAGGCTTTTTTTCTTTTGAAATAATAAAATGTGAGTACTTTCTTTGCTGATGTCAAGGATTTCGTAGAATTCATGATAAGTTAGAGCTACTTAGAGTGCTTAGAAAAGAAAACAATTTCCACCAAAAATTTGTCAAATTCGATTTCATTAGTTAAGTCTTAAGTCTGTTCGATTTCCTTCATTACATTATTTAATACGAAACAATTTGCACTCATATTAACACTTTCTTACGAGCTACGAGTTAGAAGCCAATCTTAATTAGGTCAGTGATTAAATGGAAGTCATAACAAGTCTTTATTTGATCAGGAGGACAAACAATTTGCACACTAATTTGACAAATTAACTGTTACTTAATGCTTTAACGGTTTGATGTTATTTAATTTACTTTTACTTCAGAAACAAAAATTGAACTTATAATGCTTGCTTCATTATAGATTTCGTGTCAATCTTGAGGACATACTATAATAATAATTTACACACAAATTTGATTAATATCAATAGTAGTTTGTATTCATAATGTTACTTTTAACAAAAACTAAAAACATTATAATACATGCTTGAAAGTATGCTATGATCGGACAGGAGAATGATTTGAAAGAACTTTTTTTTTCGAAATTCAGGAGCTTGCTATGAGACCAAACGGTGTCCTTTACTTAGACAACGTTTTCTGCTACAAAAAAATTGCTTTGCCTTTTACGTTCCGAAGCTTATTCTAAAATAATATTTAAAAATTTCATTCAAATTATTTGCCTGACCGTAGTTATAGAAATTTTTTTAAAAATGCAACGTTTGTAATTTCTATGTGTTTGCTTTTTGTTTTTTTTTTTAAATCATGGGTGACATAGATATTATAATATTTTACGATCAGCCTGCAGATTCTTTAATACATTATTCGTCACTAAGGGGCGATATAAAAACTTACAATCAGAATATTTTTAATGCTTTAAAAGACATAGTCGTTTGGATGTATAATAGTTTGGAACCAATTTGATCTTCTCAATGTATTTAATCATTTAATTATTTCTTTCATATTGATACTATCAATTCCCCAGCACAAACTTTCACTCCCAAAAAATAGAATAGAACAGTTTTTGTAGACTTCGTTGCTGGGTCTGACATGAGTCTAATATTATTAAATACATCAAGTTCTGTCCAAAACATTGTTAGTTTATTTCATTCATTTGCCAAAACACACACCCAAAATCACTTAACTATTGCTTTTAATTAACAATAAAGGCAGTGACACAAACTAGGGCACTGTTTATTGAGTTCACGCTCCTAGGAACCCTACACGTCACAGAATTGTTTCCTTTTTATGGCTAACCTTCGACTAAATGCCCAATAAAGTCGGCATTAAACGCGCTCCGTTCAGCCTCTATGAAGGCAAGTTGCTCGAACACAATGATAAAATTGAATTATTTTCATGCACGCAACGGCCTCTGACTTTGTCACTGAAAATGTTAGAAAAACAATCGACACTCGGGAGTACGAGTACAAAAATGAAACTCAAGTTCAACTGAATTGCCATGACAAAGGTAAACTTTTGGCTCCCACCACAATTGTTTGCTTAAGAGCAATGAAAAAATCATTACGCATTTTTAACAGAACTTCCCTTGAAAACAAAAGTTGAAAAGTCCTTAATGCATATCAGAATTATATATACACTAAGAGATCAAGAAAGTAGTCTTAGAATCCAAAATTAAGGTTAACAACACAAATTATTATTATTATTATAATATCCAATTTTATTTTCTATAATGTGGCAAGTTAACGTAGAACTTATTTCTGCCACAACTGCCGCTCCAAATTCATTTAACATTAATAATTTAGTTGTCGGCAGTCGAACGCATTACAAACGCGAGGCGACACTCTGGAAAACTGGCTGCCCCATTTTTATGTAAACTTTATTCAATTTTTGTTGCTGCTGCCACCGCCTGCCTGACCCTGCTGCCACAGCTCCGATGCTGACTCTGGCTCTGGCTCTGGCACTGCCACTGCTGCCACTCTTGCCACTACTACACTGGCCTTTGCCACTTGTCGACATTGCGGTCGTTTGCTGATGGCTGCCAGCCCGGGAATTGTGGCTGCGAGTGTCATTTGCATGACTGCGCCCTCCTCTTTGTAGCTCGCATTTCGCCGCTCGTCGCTCGGCGCTTGTTCTGGCTGTTTGTTTATGAATTTTCAATCGATAATGCACGTGTCCTTTCCACATTGCTTCACTCTCGATTACCATGCAGAAGAGCTCCCTTTGGTTACAAACTCCTTGAACATGCCTTTGATTCAATTAAATGACAATGTTCCACACAAGTTCTGCGGCAGTTGGCGCAAGATCTTCCAAATGTGAAGGACAATGCATGGCTCTTTCATGTTGCATTATCTGACAACAATTGAAAAAGATTTTGTATTGTGTAGAAACTGTATCCAAAATGCAAACTATACTTTCTTGGAGATCCTGAAAAGCACGGCTTATTTATGTTGAGTTTTCTGATAACAATTGAAGAATTGCAAACTGTACTTTCTTGGAGATCCAGAAAACCATGGCTTCTTTATGTTGCATTTTCTGATAACAATTGAAAAACATTAGCGAACACTTTTGTATTGTCTAGAAATCGTATCCAAATTGCAAACTATACTTTCTTGTAGATCCTGAAAAGCACGGCTTCTTTATGTTGAGTTTTCTGATAACAATTGAAAAATATTAGACATTTTTGTATTGTGTAGAAAGCGTATCCAAATTGAAAATTATGCTTTCTTTGAGATATTGAAAAGCATGGCTTCTTTATCTTGCATTTTCGGATAACAGTTGAAAAATATTAGCTGGTTTTTTTTTTTTTTTTTTTTTTTTTTTGTTAACAAAGCTTTGATTTGTGCTGATATTTGTAAATTATTTATGGTCTGATAAGAAGGTATTAAGTCATTCCCTCTGAGAATATTTAATTGTCTCAAAAGAGTGGTGCATTGGTCATCAGTTGGGTCTGCTTATGACCATCAAAGTACTGGCAAGACACACAAAAATTATTGATACCGTTTTTTTGGTACTTTATAGCCAATTTAATGAGATCCACAATAATAAGCCAACAGACATACGACTTTTCATCCTAGAACTGTTGAAACAGTTTATAAAAAGTTAATCAACAAGTATACGTATACCTTTTATTGGACGAGAGTACGTTTGCTGCGTACTCACCATCGATATTTCCCGGCGGCTTATATCTCGCAATGACGTAGAATTCATCTTCCCGACTGTAAACAGAAATACTTGTATGAAAAAGTCATAATATATTTCAAGCAGTTTTCCAGTATTAGAAAGACAGCACCTAACTACAGTGTTGGAAAATGGATTATTTCCAGTTAGAGCCGAAATGCTTACTTTTTTGCAACTCCAACGCCCAAGTCCGTGGTGCTCTTCCAAATAAGTTGGGTGAAACTACTGCTGCGATGTGATGTTCTGGGATATTTAAAATTATAATGGTATATGTTGCCATACCAGATATCCACACATCTTGTGGCGTTCGTAGCACTGCAAATATTCTCGCCATAAAGGCCATCCGATTTCGAATACACAAGCTCATTGTGGTCCACGCATTGCTTTGAGGAACACAAATAGAACACACACATTAAAGATCTGTTTATGATCTGAAAAAATAATACTTACGTGGGCATAATCGTCGCAATCTTTGGTGAGTTTCGCATTTAATTTTAGTGGTGGGGCTCTGTGTTTCGCTCTATATCGGTTATGTGCGTCAAGAATATCGTTTTCTGGACTAGAACAAATCTATGCGAAGAATCACATTAGCCAGTGTTGGTAAATTTAGTTTCAATTCCAACTCACCGTTGGTAGAAATAATAACCAGAAAAACACACCGTATTTTTTGTTCATTATCGTGAATTTACAATCGAAATATTTGACTGTTTATTCAACAGCAGCTGTTTGAAATATCTAAGACAATAACTGAATAGTAATGCGTTAGTCCTTTGGTTAAATCGATAATCATTAAAATAGTAAACAGAAATAACTAGAGAGAAATTACTCTACTAGTATGGTTTCAAAGACTACTTTAATCATAGCTCAGTCGCAAAAAGGAACTGCAAAGTAAAGTTGTAGCTTCTACTGCAATGCAGAACAGCAGTTTCTGGGGCAAAATTTAATGAACGTTGAAACGAGATATTATATTTTATTTTTCATAATATTCTTTTACTCGCAACTAAACAGGCTTTGTTATGTTTTCGCTTTTGCTGATGTTTTTCCTCTGCTTATTTGCTTTACGAAGGAATTGCATGGATAAGTAAAATGTGCAGCAGAATTTGCATGTTCAAGGCACAGAATAATGAGGAAACTTTTACGTTGTCATGTAAAAATCTGGTATTGAATTTCTATAATGTAAGCATTTTGCAGACAAACATTCAGTGATGTTATTATAAAAGATGTTTTCGATTCAGGCCAGATACTCGTATTTTCTGTCTTATTTTTAATGATTTGTTTTCATTTTGAAAATAGATCTGTTTCCTAGTTACCCTCGAGTCATTATTCTGGTAATAAACAATGCTTGCCTGAATCGGTCCAACTATTGGCATTATTTTATTTTGGATCACAATTCAAGTTGTTCAAGCATAAACTTAAAGAGTAACTGCAAGTGGTAAAAATTTCTTTCTAATTTTCAGCGTAAAAATTATATAAAAATTAAACTGAGCTTCTGTTTATTTCAACGAAAAAAAAAAACTCTTTATTGCATTCAGTTCCAACAAAAAGTTAATGTAATTTTTATGCTTAATTTTATTATTTTTAATTGTCATTTATGTTTTCTTTTAGTTAGCTGTGATGTGCTTTTTTTTGTTTTTAAATAGATACGATTTTCTTTCCGATATTTATAAAAATTCAACGATTATTACAAATAAGAGTCATATTGCTGAATCGAACTATTCTTTGATCCGAAACAATGAAATCATTATCGTCCTTAAACTTGCATAGTAAATATTACTTCTTTTTTTTTTTAATAACACAGAAGCGATATTTTGGCAAGCCAAGTTTATTTTAATAAAATAATCAGCTCTTGCCTTAATTTTAAAAGCAATATGAACTAGTGTTTTGAGGCCGTCGACCGGCAATGGTGGTAAAAGCCTTTTGAATGGCTGCTACGTTCTGCAATTGAATTTTCTGAAAATATTGTAGTCCCATAAAACTAAAATAGGAAAACTGGGGAGTAGTTGATGGTCAAGAAGCGATTTTTTGTAAAAAAAAAAAACAGTCAAAATCAGAAGAATTTTTAGTCACGATTTTTGATACATTCGAGTGCCTTGTAATTGCAAATTTTGACTGGCAAACATTTTCGTTGTCCCTTTGGCATTTTTTTTTTATCATTTGAAACTCCACTGATAGCACAAACAAAGTGTTTCTTTATGGGTGAAGAATCGTCTTCTATTTATCGGATAGACATGACATTTTGACGATATTTCTGCAAAAGATAGGGATAATTTATGGGGATAGGGATAATTTTTAGCAGTTCTGCTTACGTTATAAACTGTGTGTCTTTATGGTTATTTTTAATAATTTAGTTACTAAAAAAAATAAATTTTTACATGAAATGAATTCAAAGCATAAATTAAAAGAGAGTTCGCGGCAGTTTTGACAAACATTTTGATATTAAATGAAGCCGAATAGCGATTAAAACCGACTGAAATCAATATTTTATGAGCTTGAAAAAAAACGAGCTTAAAACCGTATTTTTGTTCTTGATATACGAATTTTCCAGCTGACCTACTTTTCTTTCTCACTGTCTATAGCCGATTTAAGTAAATCGCTTATGATGTTTCTGCCTGAAAGACGTATGCGACGTCATATTTTCATTAACTTTCTGTGTGTAGTATAGGTTCATCATATTGATATTTGTTCCGTATACTACTTAAATACTTCTGATTGGGTGCATATTTCGTTATATATTAACATTTCCCTTGTATTCTTCTCTCCCTCTCTCTCTTTTTAGGTAAGTGCCCAGTTTGACTGACAAATGAAAATTGTTGATGTGTGCGGCCTTCAATATAAAGCTTTTTGCATTCATTTGGTTGACATGTGTACAAATGAATTTTTAATTTAAAATAAATACAAGTATGGATATTAAATTACTTTTGGCCCAACACAGCAGCTTCACAGAGGAGTGGGGCTGGGGGCGGCAGGAGAAAGAAATGAATGAATGCAATGGAATGGAATGCCAAGCAATATCCGTTGTGAAGGACAAACATGTAAAACGGCATCAAATCCAATTAGTTAATATGAATATTTGATGAAATCACATCCGTTTCAAATGCAAAAAGTTGTCGTCTCTCACTTGCTGAATTTCCTTTCCATTCTTTTTTTTCCTTTTTTTTATGATTTTCAGTTCTTTTCTGCTTCCATTTCGTGCAACAGTTTGTGAGGATGTGTGTGTGTGTGTGTGTGTGTGTGTTGGGGCGAATTTAAAACTTTAACACATGCCACTTTGTAGTGCAAGTCATTATGTTTGCTTTCTCTTGTCGACCATTCATTCATACACTAATTTTCGGTGCCATTTTTTTTTTCTGTTGCTCCACAATAACCACAATTTGAAACTTTTTGTGGCATTTTGTCAGTGCGATGTCAAAATGTTTGTTGTTGTTGGCTGCGGTGGCGTCAGAAATATTTAAATATTTTATTTGTCACCCACTCAACACCCGAGAGCTGCCAGAGTAGAACTAACAACAATGCGAAACAACAATGCGCATACACAGCAGAAAAAGGAAAGAGCAAAAAAGGACGAAAGAAGCGAAAGTGGGTTAAGAGAGGCAGCCGCAATAGGCTATGTTCAAATTAGGACTCTTCAGGCAGATGATTGTGTGTGTGTGTTTTGTGTATTTGCGCACATGTATTTATGCAGATTCGCCATCTTTGCGCTTGTGGCATGCCTCCATCTCGATTTCAAGTCATTCACACACCAGCCTACACATTTCTAAACACACAGCTGTTGTGTTTGCCCTGCCGAGGTCCTTTCAGCAATTCGCTTTTGTGCTGCTGAATTTTTAATTTGGTTTTGGTTTTCGTTTCACCCTCTGTTGTTTAACTTTTCAAAACGGTTTGTTTTTTGTTTTTTTGTTTTTTGTTTTCTGCGTTTGCACACTTACACCTGCCCAGTCGCACATTTCGTTTTATTTACACATGCAGCCATACATTTTTAATGGCCATTCGTTTTTCATGCAAACACATCAACAACAAAAAAAGAGAGAGAAGCAGAAAAGCAAAAAAGAAGAAGTAAACTCCAAAGCTTTCCCCTTTAGCGTTTCGCCACCACGTCTCTGCTTCCCTTTGCTTTGTTGCTGTTGTTGTGCCACCGCTGTGTGGGAAAATGTCACGCATTGTTTAATATTAATTTTATTTTCCGCGCTCTGGAACATAAAAACAGAAAGACCCAACAGCCCATCCGTCCATCCGTCCATCAGCCCTCCAATTGTAATCTGTTGAAATTTTCCATTGCATTAAGCGAAGCGGCGCCGCAGCTTTTTCGACTCCCACGTGGTCCACGCATTGCCAATATTTAAATTAATTTCATTCCCGTACGCCTCGAATGCAATCCGTGTCAGCTTTTGTCTGCCTAAGTGATTCAAATGAGGTTTCAAGAAACGGCTTCATATGCGACAGATTTTGCATAAATCACTCTCAACAAAGCGTGTATGCAAAGTAAATACTCTTACTCTGTACGGATATGGTAATATTTGTTTATCCGCAGCTAGATTTAAGTAATCGCTCCTCAAAGGTGGATCTAAAAAATCTTCAAAAATATATGTAACTGTAAGAAATTGAAAGCTTAAGCTAAAGTCAGGGTTTCTGGGTGATTATAAATTAAATCATGCAGTTCCAGAATCTATTTGAAAAAAGTATACAAAATCAATTGCCTTTTTAATTAACAGATGAGAATAAATTAGCCAGCAACTGATGCTCAGAAAGAAAGGGTATATAAGTGGCCTACTAGCTTCTAAATATAAATTTAAGCCGCATTCAGAGGAGCACCATTTTGCATATTAAGTCTTAAAAAACAAGACAACAATGGGAGTCGTCATGAATCTAAATATGGAATGAAAAGAGAAACATTTTTAGTGACGCAGCAATGCAACTACTACCTCCAAATGTTTACTGCAGAATGTCCTTTTTATGCTCTGTTTTATTAAAGAAAACTCGCACATAAATAGCAGAAGTTAAATATTTATATTTCCCTGCTTCCCCCCCCCCCATTCATATCGCTCCAAAGAGTTCGCTTTATTGCAACTTAATTAAATGCTGTCGAGCGATGTCTCAAAAATTACAAAATTCATGCAATCAGACAACTATCTTTTGATAAAAAAAATATATATAAATTGCTTATTTCTGTAATCAGCTGAATGTTCAGAACATTATAAATACACATACGAGCATGCTTCATTTCTCGATTGGTTTTTTTTTCACAAGCTATGTGTTAACTGTTTTCATACCAGTGCGCATTTTAATTTTCCACACTAACAAACGTAATTGATGGTCAAGAGTCTTAAATATGCCCATGTGCACCATTTTTTTTTTTTTTCATATTAGAGTCCGTACCGCCCGGAACAACCCACAAAACTCGCGTCGAAACGAATTAAAAATATATAAATGGAAAAAAAATTTACTATGGATTACCGACAGCATATTCAGCAAGAGTCGAACAAAAGTGAAATTAGTTAAGCTCATTAAATAAGTAAAACTATTTAAATAATGTGAAACCTTTTTCTGCCAACGACATACAATTACTCTTCACCACATTTTGGAATAATAAATGCCTAATGCTCTTACGATTAAGTAGAGCTTTGTGGCGCAGCTTTATAGTTCTTTGCATATTTAAGGTGGGAGCTCGGACC